TGCATCAATGACCAGTGAGACAGTCAAGGGTGGAAATCACATCAACCAAGGCATATTCATATTATTTATTTGTTTATTTATTTTTGTTTCCTTATTATTTTTATTTAATGTTTGATAGGTAATTTCTAGTTTAGTTGTATCACCAATTCAAATTTACCCCTTTTTTTATCACATAGTTGATAGATTTGTTTACTTCTCCTCATGGATACGATCCTTGCTCAGGCTACTACATAGCACGACCAATGTGACATTATAAGCCACTTTTTTTTTTTTTATTTGCAACTTGTGCAATTATTTTTTGTTTAGCATCTTTCCATTTTTCGATGGGTAATACGAAAGGGTGTGCAACACAAATACTTGCACCTGTATCTATGTATCCATGAAGATGATATAATTTATATCCAGTGAATTTAAAATCCACCTTGATATAGGTACTATTAGGGTTAGTTATATTTAACAATTGTTCTATTCTTCATAACTATCATCAGTGCAACTTTCCCATTCAGAGTTTGGTTTTGTTCGTGAAATAGACTTCACTCAGGCTCCTTCAACTCGGTCGGCCTCCGTGCCTGCAAGAACCCAACGCCGGGAGGGGTCCCAGCGTCGGGCTCCGAAGCTCAAGTCAATATCACTCCAAATTCCAATAGAATAATTATGAATGTAGAGAGGGTGAGAGAATGAGATACCTTAGCCCCCTTTTATAGGGGAGTGTACCTTATGACCCAAGTTGTGCTTGTCCAATGCCATCATGCCACGTGTCCTAGCCCATGTGTAGGTTTATTCTCCAACATTCTTTTATGCTCCAATATATTCCTTTTTTATCCATTAAAACCGGTCTAGTATAATATCATATATCATCTAGTCCCTCCACTCTGGTCGAGTAAGCATGACTTGGTCTAAGAGTGAAATTCCTTTTCGGGTTGTTTCCATTAAACTGCCCCCGAGGTTATAATTTGAATAAATCCTCAACCACCAAATAGTTACCAAACCTCCAAATGAGCATCAGGACCCCAAATGAACACTGAATGACCATTAAGGTCGAAAACCGAGTGACCCGCCACTCGGGTCAAACCTTGATTCCTAGATGAGATTCCAATGCTCCTCATTTTGCAATGTCGACTTTACTTTGCTATCTCCCGACCTGCTTACTAGGACGCCCATGATACTTTGATAAATTTCCTCGATCTCTCTCCGAAGTCTTTGAATTTGAAAATTTGAACTCACGCCTCTTGTTTCTCGACCACATTGTTCGAACTCTCTTCCTTGAAAGATAAACCTTTTCTATCACCTCGTCCTATCATCTCGCCCCTCAGTTCAAAATTTGAAATTCAACCCTGTTTTTTATCCTCTCGAGAACCGAATATCCTGACGCCACACTGAAGTTGAAAAATCAGATTCTACAAAACCAAATAGAACCAAATAAAGTCATCTATCTAAATAACATGACTTCGTAAACTGGTCCAAGTGAACTCCCTCGACCCGCCACTGAGGTCGAAAAATAAATTCGATAAACCTGAATCAAGTAATAATCATTGACCTGCCACTGAGGTCCTCGAATAAGCTCCCTGAATCACTCCAAATGAACTCCATCGACCTGCCCCGAAGGTCGAAAAATAAATTTGATAAAATCAAAACCAAGTAAAGATCATCGACCAGCCTCCGAGGTCTCCGATAGGCTCCATATCTTCAACAACCCAACATCAGTATCTACAACCGAGCCCGAAGGCCTTAGTCATGTTCAATTTTACTCCTTTGAACACATGCCCACCTTCGAAGAGGTGGTCGATACATGCGGCCATCCAGCCTCACGACCTTAATCATGATGGTTTTTTTGTCTTCGAGCACACATATCCGCCCTCAAAGGAGTGGTCGATACATGAGACCACCCAGCCCAGAAGCCTTATTCATGGTGAATTTTTTGTCTTCGAACACATGCCCACCCTCGAAAGAGTGGTCGATACATGCGACCACCAGCCCAGAGGCCTTAGTCATGGTGGATTTTTGTGTTCGAACACATGTCCACCCTCAAAGGAGTGGTCGATACATGCGACCACCCAGCCCGGAGGCCTTAGTCATGGTGGATTTTTTTTTTGTCTTCGAACACATGCCCACCCTCGAAGGAGTGATCGATACATGCGACCAACCAGCCCGGAGGCCTTAGTCATGGTGGATTTTTTTTGTCTTTGGACACATGCCCACCCTCGAAGGAGTGGTCGATACATGTGACCACCCAGCCCAGAGGCTTTAGTCATGGTGGACTTTTTTGTCTTCGAACACATGCCCACCCTTGAAGGAGTGGTCGATACATGCTACCACCAAACCCGGAGCCTTAGACCACCCAGCCCAGAGGCCTTAGTCATATTTTTTGTCTTCGAACACATGGTTACCCTCGAAAGAGTGGTCGATACATGCGACCACCCTGCCCGAAGGCCTTAGTCATGGTGGAT